TATTATTTCATTATTTTTTTCCTTTAATTTATTTAATATTCGTTTATTATTTCCTATCTAACATTTTAACTTTTTAAGGTAATTTCATTCAATCAAAGGTAAGTAATTGGAATCGATTTTTTTTTTTAAATTTAAATTTAAATTTTTAATTTTCGTAATTAAAGACAACCGATAAATTAATTGGGTAACCGACTCTCGAGCCCGACATGTTTCTGGTACAACGCAGATTAGGTAATATGGTGTCCGACCCACCTAAATTTATTTTAAAGTGGTCGGTGACGATTCCAATTTATTTAATCCAAATCGAAGTCTAATTCTGGGATCACTCAAAAGACGAGTCCGACAATCTATAAATTCAAGTTAAAATAAAAGGTAATTTTTTTTAAAAAAGAAGTAATTATAGATATCGGGGTGTTCTTATTTTATTAATCCTCGGGATTCATGTTCTAAATCTCCATTTCTTTCACCAATAGATAGAACAAAAGTGTTCCGTATACTTGATTCTCATCTGATTTAAAACCAACAAAATCAAATAAAATATTACTAAAATTAAATGAAATTCGATTAGTCAGAAAGATAATTTTCGATATTGATTTTTGTAGATTTGAGTGCTAAGATCTTTATATGAGCTGTAAAGCGAAGCTTGGAAAGAGAACGGGTGTCATTTCCCAAAAGCTACAAGTTATTAGCAATCTTTAGAGGTTGGAAAAGCGTATCCAAATTCGTCTTTCCAATACCAGACATGAACTACATAACAAATTTAAGGACAATGAGGTCCCAATAAACAAAGGAATTTAGGACATCACACATGGGTTGGACTTGGCATGAAAGGTTCTTTTCCATTACCAATTTGTTGGGTCCATCCTCAACTAACAAGTCATTCATTTTTTTCTTTTTTTTAACCAAATGATTTTGGTGGTAAAAAAATTATTATTATTTCTTGAGGTCTTAAGTTCGAACTCTAAGAATATCAAGGTATGAGCGTTTAATGTCAAATAGTAGAGAATTATCTATAAACATACTCTATCTTTGTATTTACTCCAGATTAATTAAAAAAATGCTCCTTTTCGTGGTATAATTGTATTTGTACTCATCTGGTATTTAATTTATTTGTCGATTAATCTAGACTAAGTATTGTAAAAAGTTATTGTGTAGATCATTATTTCAATATAATTTTCTACTCACAAATGGGGCTATAAACGAGTCGAGTCGAGCTCGAATATTACTAAGCTCGACTCGAAAACTCTGAAATGGAGCTCGACTAGATTCAAAAACTCGTGAGCCTAAAATTGTCAAGCTTGAAATCATGAACTGAAGCTCGTAAAAGCTCACAAAGGCTCGAAATGGAAAAAAAGCTTAAACTTAACTTGATTGAATCCTCAAACTCGAACTCGAATCTGATCCTTAAATACATGAAAACCGTATACCTCATTTTAAAAAAATAATGCATAAATGTTAATATTGTTAATAATTTATTTTTTTTAAAAAATAGAATATTAATATATTATATTTTCGAGATGCTCAGAGCTTTTTGAGTCAAGTATCAAGTAGCTCATTTCGGCTCATTAATAACTTGAGTCAATCAAATCCATTTGAGTAGAGTATTTATCCAGCTTTGACTGAATCGATTTCAATTAGCTCGCGATCTGTCTCGTCTCATTTATAATCCTACTCACATAGTTGATATTCAAATCTTTAACCTTATTCGAGAGATCTAACGTTCCAGTCACTAAGTTAAGTTACGGACATCTTCAAGTTTTTTTTATCAGTCAAAAGGTGTTATTGCTTAATTAGAACCTAACAACTACCGGTTGTGGATTATTCTAGATAATTAAAAGTGAATAAACTTTATCAATGAAAGGAATATTGTCGCTTAATTAGAACCTAACAACTAACGGTTGTTATTCTAGATAATTAAAAGTGAATAAACTTACCGATCAAAGTTTGTACTTACAGTAGTCATTAAAAACAGTTTATTTAATGCAATGAGATATTAGATTTTTTAAATAATATTAATTATTCGAGTTTTAATATCTTGAATAGAGTAAATGAAGTTAAAAAGATCGTTTCATCTTTATAGTACTTAATTTAAATTAATTATTTAATAAATCAGATACCCGATTTTAATCTCCTTTCTATCAAAGAAAAAAAGTCATTGAAAAAAGATGGAGTTTACCTAATCCACCAAAAATAGTCCAAGAAAACTACACGTAAAAACCGGATTATGTTATCCGTTTCCTTATCTAATTGCTAATTAGGGGCCTTAAGTACAGTAATTAAACAACTGTTAACAATGAATTAATGGCTTACGGCAGCACTAGATTTTGGAGATCTTTTGTATATCTTTTGGCCAAATTCCATCTCTACTCCTTGTACTATGCATAAGTTATGAGTTTGATCTTTATACTCTGATTTGGTCTATAATGATATTTTTACTTTTCGAGTTTTGAAATTTCAGTACTAACCCAAATAACGTAAATACAATCTGATTAAAGTTCACGTGCTTAATTTGATCAATTCAGAGACAATAATCAGGTAAAAACTTAGGCATAATGTAAGGACTAATAGCAGAATTTGATTTGAACAAATTTTATGAGTATTGTTTGGATTAGGACTGAAATTTTAAAATTTGAGAAATACATAGATTAAACAATATCAGATTAGAGTACATTGATTGAATCCATTAATTATATATAGGACAAGGACTAATGAGATAATTGTCCAATAAAATAAAATAAAGGGTTGCTAAAATTAATAATTTTTTTGGCAAAACTTTCGAGATAATGTTATCGAATTTTTTATTTAACGATATAACGTACTCCCAAGATTAATTACTCAAATAGGGTGAAATCTACAGTGTTGGCCGTAGGTCGTCATGCCTTCCGGGCGACCTACTAGGTCGCCATGTCTTCCCGGCGACCTACAAGAGATTGCATGTTCCATGCACGTCCCAACACGTTGGGCATCCGAGGCCATCCGACCGAGGCCATCCGAAAGCATCCGAGGCCATCTGAGAGCATCCGAGGCCATCCGACCGAGGCCATCCGAACGAGCTATGCGAGGGCATCCGAGGGCAACCGAGCAAGCTATGCGAGGGAATCCGAGGACAACCGAGCGAGGGTAGGTCGCCCGGAGTGCATGTCGACCTTCTCGGATGCTTTCGGATGGCCTCGGTCGAATAAACAAGAAACATGTATGACTAAATTATAATTAAACATAAATACTAAACAGTGGCTAAAATAACATGTTTACAAATTTCATGGCCAATTTCGAAAATTAAGGAAAATATATAAAACACATGAAATCAGTGATTAAAATGAAATAACTAAAAATATTATGATCAAAATGAAGCATACACAAACTTGACAGAATAAACAACTAGTGACTAAAATATAATTATTAAAATATACATGCCTGAAACAAAACATTAAAAATGTCACTAAATGATTAAACAAATAGATTACAAAGCATAGGGGACCGAAAATGCTATTATCCCCTAAATATTAAAACACACGTATGAGAGTGTAAAGTTGTGAGGACCAAATTTGCATTTAACCCAAACAATTATTGTTTGATTGTTTCTCCCATGGATCACCTGGCGACCTTCATTGGTCGCCCAGAACACTCGGCGACCTTCATTCGAACTGTAGCAAACACCCTATCTCAACAATTAATTGTTGGAATGCGTTATCTCGTGAATTGTTTTTTCTCACAACATTATCTCGTAAATTCAGCCAATTTTTTTAGCATGAAGTGGGGGATAGGCCATGATCATCTAATCAAAACAAGTTGCTTCAACCAAGGGGAAACCATGCATATTGAATCATTTTAGTTGTATTTCAAGTTTTCTATTTAGAAAAAGAAAAAGTTCCTACGGTTAGGTTATTTATCCGTTAGTGTTGTACGGACTAGATAGTTACAAATGTAAATAAAGAATCAAAATTAAAAATTATATAATATCTATTCATAATAAAGTTTAAATATTAAAATCCCCCAAACGTCAAGTAACATCTAGATGTTTTAATAGAATAATGTACTGAATCTCTTGAGTAACACTAATGATTTAGCAAAGACCAACTTATTTCAATGGTTAAAGGATATTTGTTGTTTTAAGAGATCTCGAGTTCGAACACCAACGACTGCAGTAGGTGATTAAACGTTGATTGATTGTGCCAATGAGATAAACCATTACCAAAATTTCATTGTGGGATTCAACTATACCAAGTAAAGAATTAGTGGGATTTTAAAACACATTGCTTTCAATCAACATTCCACTCAAAACTTAGGACCCAAGCTTGCTCCCCCGACAAGTTTGGCCTCCAAATATCGCCGAAAGTTCAAAGAAACATCCATTTCTTGCTACAATTTATTATTGGGTAAACTTCATATTTAGTATCTAAACTATCAATTTAATTTTAAAATCATACCTAAAATATAATTTTTGTTTCATTTTAATATACTTTCGTTAAAAACTTAACGGACAAGTTGATGAGCTATAACTCTGGCAGATGGAAGACCAATATGAATAGTAAACCACTAGAGAATGAAGAGTGGACCAACATAGTCCAATTTTAGGCCCATCAGACGGTTGACAACGGAGAGATGAAGAAGTTGAAGAGTCTACGTCGATTTGGGGAGATTAAATCATTTTTTTTGTGTGAAATAGAGATGAAATCGTGTGCCGGAAAGTTTAGGCTTCATCGGCTAACAATTACGACGGTTGATGACTGTAGACGCGACAGCCAACGAGCCTGTCTATTAAGTTTTTAATTGCAGGATACTAAAATGAAACAAAACTAAACATTATGCATAGTTTTAAAAAATTGAAAATTTAAATAATAAAATAGACCAAAACTAATAGTTTAGATACTAAACGTATAATTTACCCTTATAATTTCATTGCTCAAGTTCCATTTGATCTCATCCGAAAATTCCTAAAGAATAAAAGAAACCTCTCCCCCAACTCATTCTCGTTGTTTCCAACGCTTGTCAAAAGCGGTGTTCCAGCAAAATGGAAAGCAAAAAAGGTCCATTTCAAACACAACCCTTATTTTTCTTCCATTAAAACACTGTTAAATCATCATCATCTTCTTCTTCAAACAAAACCCATCATTGCTGGTTCAAGTTCATAGAGTAATCTAAATTCTAAATGCCTCCTTTGAACTTGGCAAAGAAGCTAAAACCAGCCAGAAAGGCCTGGAGGAGCTTCACCATCAAAGTGAAGTCGAAGCTCGAAACCTTGGACTTCCTGAATTCGATCGAATCAACGACTCGTCGTCTCCTCGAGTTCTGCTCGTTCCATCTCTTTGCTCCGTTCAAGAGACGGTTCCTTTCGGGCCGACGTCGCCGGTTCAACTACGACTGCCTCTGCACATACCAAAACCAGCCGAGGAACCGGAAAGTTATATACATAGACCAGCTTTACGGTGAGCCTATGTCAATGCAATTGCAAGCGAAGCACAAGGAACCACCGCAGGAGGCGGAGACGAGCAGAAGAAGCGTAGAAGAAGTGGAGGAGAGTAGCGGTGGCGTGTATAGTATTGAAGATGCATGGAAAGCTGTGGTTGCGAAATCACCTCATCTGAGGGGAGTGGATGAACGAGCCGATGAGTTCATATACAAGTTTCGAGAAGAGAGGAAGCTGGAGAAGGAACAAAGTGATCTCGATTTCCAGGAGATGTTGGCTCGAAGTGCATGATCTTCTTGTTGTTGTTTTTTTTATTTTATGAAAATGCAACATGATGAGGGTTTTGCAAGTTTTTTTGGTTACTGATCATATGATTCTAGCTGTTGTTACTATGATTTAGTAAAAAGGGGGGTTTTGAAATTTGTATGTATAGATTGGATTAAGATTCGTGTTCTTTTGTTCCTTTTTTGTGTTTCTTACATATAGCGGGGGATGTCTGGTTTAGACGATGAATGTTTGATCGTGTTGTTTGCTGATGGATTTATGCAAATTCATCCTTCCGTTTCATTTTGTTTTTGTTGCCCTCCGGATACAAGGTTTTATTTTTATTGATCCGGATCGATCTGTATCGTACATCTGATTTTAGTGAGTGAGTCTTCAATAAAGATTTTTGCATACATAAAAATTCGAACTCGAAACTTTACTTAAACAATATCAAACTACTTATCATTTCAATCAATCTTGTTGGTTCATTTGTTTCTATTTTGTATATCGTTTTCATTTTGAAGACAACATTAATATCGTTTTTATTTTTGGAGATCAAAACTTTAAGATTGGGTAAATTATAAATTCGTTATTCAACTTTATTATTTTCTACTATTTTCAATATTAAAATTTAATTATTTTTAATTTATTCAACGAAATTTTATATGTTTCTATTTTGATCATTCAAGTGTTAAATCAAAAGTAGAAGAGTGATGGATCATTTTTTGTTGACATGAAATTCACATATCATCTGTGTCATTTTCTCTTTTTTATTTTTATATTTTTCTATAAATATAAAAGTTTTACAATTTCATCACTATCTCATGTCAACGTTGCAATTAGCATTCCATGACGTTTTCTCCAGCTAATCAAGACATCGATGAACTTATCTCATCGCCTCCTACCACTTTATTAGTTTATATTTTACTTAAATCACTTGAGAACTCACAAAATTTGATCTCAAACTCGAAACTCATGAAACCTTAAATCAATCTAATCTATAATATCTACCATCTGATCAACGTAAAATTAAGATATACAACTTTCTTCTTCATTCTCCACATTCCCACTGTTACAATTTAGAAGAAGATCATTTATTATTAAGAAATCAAATAGAATTCAAAACTAAGGGTTTTTCAAAAAAAAAAAAAAGAAAGAAAAATTTGAGATTATTTTACATTTTTAAAAGAAAAAAAATCTAATCATAATGTTATCAAGTATTTAACAACAACATGATCTAAATAGAAATAAATTAAAAAATTAATTAGATAACTAAAAGCTTTTATTTTTTTAGTTGTTCTCACGGTTTTCTAAGATTTCGTCCTGACTAATTTGGACCAATTTGAGTCGCACACCTAATGAGTGAGTTTTTCAATAAATTTTTATATATAAAGTTTCGAACTCAAAACATACTTAAACGATATCAAGTGACCTACCACTTGAATCGATCCGGTAGATTTTTACCCTTGTTTAGGGCTAGCCTGTCTTGTTCTAGCCTTTTGGGTTGTAGATTTGGACTAATATTTGGGCCTTGTCTTTATATGGGGCTTTGCCTTATCTAAATCATAATTGTCTCATCTAAGCAAATGTCAAATTAGATTTAGCAGTACGTGGTCCTCAACAACAGAAATAAATGACAGATCTTGAGGGACTCAAAATTCACGAGACATTTGATAGAAAATATTTTTTAATGTTTAGAAGTTGATCAATTTTTTTAAAGATTATATCAAAACGAAATAAAGTAAAAAGGTTAATAATAAGAAAAACAATATAAATTTTATTGAAAATAAACGTATTTGTATGTGAGTTTAATTGGTCATTCAATAAATATATGTTTAAAATTATATTTAAATACTTAAAAAATCATATCTAATTAATTTGAGAGCATGATTTTCATAACCGGACCGGTCAGCGAACCGGCCGTGCTATCGGTTCACTAATTCAACCGGTTGAACCGGTCGAAAAAATCAGACGACGTCATAATTAATTATTTATTTAAAAATTAAATAAAAATACCGAAAATATTTAATAAAACAGTTTTTTATATCACAAGTTATATTCAAAACAAGTCATAACATATATAAGTTAAAAACTATAAAATCAAGTGAAACAAAATAAGTCAAATCAACTACATATTTAATATTTAAAGTAAAACATGTTAAATAATAAATATAATTATATAACTATAATCAAAAAATAAATTTGGGACTAAAAAATCATAACAAACGATGTCGTTTAGTTTAATTTTTTTTAAAAAAAATCCCACATGGCTAAGAAACATAGAAGAGCATCACAAAAGTCTAAAGAGTAAAAATATAAAAAACAACAATCCCACATGGCTAAGAAACATAGAGAGTATCCCAATTGACTTCTATAAATAATAGAGGTAATTTGACATTCAAAATCATGGAGTCTTTTGAACTATTCTTTCGCTTCAATCGAGCTCGAATTTCAGGTTTCAATCGAGTTTCTAATTTTTTTTAGTTCGAGCCTTTTTGAGTTCAAGTTTCAATATTATATTTCGAGTTCGAGTTGAACTTGATATTTTTAGCTCGTGAGTTTTTGAGTCGAGTTGAGCTTACTTTTAAAGTTTTCGAGTTCGAGTTGAGCTCAGTAATACTCGAGTTTGACTCGGCTCGTTTAACAAACGACGTCGTTTGATTTAATTTTTTTTAGAAAAAAAAGAATACCGATTTTCAACCGGTTCATGGTCCGGTCCGGTTCGAACGGTTCACAGTCGGTTCAGAATTTCTTCCGGTTCACTAGTAACGGTTTAACCGGTGTAGAATGAACCGGACCAGGCAGCGATTCCCGGTTGAACCGGCCGGTCCGATTTTCAAAACACTGAGTTCATGACCAGATATATTGATTTGGAACTGTTTAAAAAATTCTGAACTTGATATTTTAATTCACGAGTACGAGCACAAAAATGAATCAAATATATTAATTTAAGAATAAAATTATGAAATGATATTTTTTTATGTAATATTATCAATGTAACAACTAACAAGAGTTAATATATGGTAAACAAATTATTATTAATCAATAAAGTAACTGAATCGTAATAATTAAAAAATGAGTAGCTAAAATCAGAAAAAATGAATAAAATGTGACCTTTATTGTACTTTTCCATAACCATAAAAGGAAAATTATTCTTATTAAATTTCAGAAGAGTTTGTTTCTGAAGGCAGCTTGCTTTTACATGTAAATTTTTTCCTCCATAAGATAAGAACTCTCGTCGTCCCCTTTTTTTTTCTTCATTTTCAAGCGGGCAATGTCTTTCAGAGGAGTAAGTTCCCTTTTCTTATGGATCTTTTAGATCTGATCTTGTTTGGGTTCTTTTAATTCTCTTTTTTTAGCTTAAAAATTAGTTGATTTCTTATTTTCATGCTGAACTTAAACAAAGTCAAGGTTTTTATTATATGGGTATAACTTGTTTGGGAGGTTGAATTTTCCATGACTAGATGCAACTTATATCTTAGCTTTTAGAATAGTAGTTGAATGTACCCTTTTTTATAATCAGTTTGGGTTAATGAAATATTAGAACATTAGATTTTATTTGTTGTACATTTTCAGTAGTTAGATTTGATTTTGTACTTTTTTTTTTTGCATCTTCATCCCAATTGTAATGATAACAGGATTAGGATCTTGAAGTATTTTTTATTGGTTTGTTTACCTATGAACTTGAAATTGTTGTATTTGCATTGCATTAACCTTATCTCTTTTATGACATTTATAGTACTTGTGAAAAGTGATGAGAGTTAGAAATTAAGGATTGTGTTGGAAAATATCGTTTTGGGTCCTTGCACATTTGACATTCTTAAAAATTGTGAGACTTTTTCTCTCTTTTGCATGCTGGACTTGTTCTTATAGTGTTCATTGAACAGAGTTTGTTATTGCCGAAAATTAATGTTCGTTTTGATATTAAAAGTGGAGTAAGCATTGAACAATTAGTGATCGTCTCTGGTTTTTAGGCAAATGCATCATCTGGCATGGGAGTGGCTGAAAACAGCAAAAGCACGTACCTGGAGCTGCAGAGGAAGAAGGTGTTCCGATATGTGATCTTTAAGATTGATGAGAAGAAAAAGGAGGTTGTAGTTGAAAAGACTGGAGGTCCATCCGAGAGCTACGATGATTTCACTGCCTCGTTGCCCGAGGCTGATTGCCGCTATGCAGTTTATGACTTTGATTTCGTGACTTCTGAGAACTGCCAGAAGAGCAAGATCTTTTTTATTGCATGGTCAGTGTCCTTTTTCCTTTGAAGAATAGTCCGATTCTGTGGAAAATCATGTGCTGCATCTGCATTATAACTCTGTCTGATTTGATTGTAAGTTTGTAACCATGTTGTGTGTGATTACATGATGTTTTATCACCGATCCTGTTTTCTAGTGCACGATTTGCTTATCTAATAGAATATCGAGTCAAGTATATCTGCTTCAGTGTTCTCTTTAAGGTTCATTAAGTCAAGTTGTTCGAGTGTGGAAAGCAGTGGTCTGAAAATCATGAAATGAGCTTTCCTTTTGTGCCATGGACATATGTTTTTGTTGAATTGTAAGAGAAAGCCAAGAGGGTGAATGTTTTGTCGTCTGTGGTTTTCGGTACACAAGGCTGACTCAATGTTCTCTTGTAGGTCTCCTTCTGTTTCAAAGATCCGTTCCAAGATGCTCTATGCAACATCCAAGGACCGGTTCAGAAGGGAATTACAGGGCATTCATTATGAAATCCAGGCAACCGACCCAACCGAGATGGATCTTGAGGTGATTAGGGAGCGTGCACGTTAGGTGTTGAATCCCGTCATTGGTTTTGCATGCTTAGGGAGCTCCCTTGCTTAAATTAGTGATTAACTAAGTGAAGCTGTCTACCATATGTTCTTAAGTGTATAATGTTCTCAAGTAAGATTACAAATAGTATAACAAGTTAAGGAAGATAGTTACGAATTTGTTTTTCTGGACAATACCAAGCACACTTGTGAATTTGTCTTCATCAACAAAACGTGATTGAATAATGAGAACATTCAAAGAATTTAAAATAAAATTTGTGTGTTATTTTATTATATAACTTATAATAACCCTAAACACTAAAAACTACATTGCTAACAACAAACATGAAGAACAAAATAGTCTTGCTCTACCGCAATTAAGCAAAAATCCTAATTGTTTCAGTCACACTACGCACACTTGCATTATTCACATAACAAGATCACACGTGAACAAATAACAAAACAACTGAATAGGTGAATTACCATACTCTTAGTTATTCTTACTGCTAACTTACGAAAGGATAAGAGACTCCACAGATATTTAAAACATGCTGTTTGTAAAAAATTGAAGCCATGTATATTTAACATATGAATCTAAGCAGTGGACAGTGGAGTTTATCATCCACACCTAAGCCAACCTTCCTTATATGACATCCATCCAAGAATAAGTGGATTACCATACTCTTGAGACACAATCTCTTCATATCTTTGAAAAAGTATGAAAGATTACAACACAGCTCTTTCTTGGTCATAATCACCATTGAAACAATAAACAACTGAATTTTATCAACACTCCAACCTTGCAAATTCGACCACCACGTGCTGTTCATTGCCTTCAACACTAAAACTTCTTTGTAAAATCTCAAGCTTGTTGCGCGTTCTTCATAGTAAGTTTCTTCTGATTGTTGAAATTCGAGTCTAATAGAGAACCGGTACACATACTCAATACTTTCATCTCTCGAGCCTTGCTTCATGAACATTATTCAGAATTTACAGTCCCTAGATCGAGCACCAGTCAATTTAAACATATCGTAAACAAGAGAATACATTTACAAACAATCATCAATAGATTAACTGACTGTTGATCTTCATCAATCATCAATACATTTACCAGCCAATGCATAGTCCTCATTCTAGCCAACAATTTATTTAGCAATCATCAATACATTAACTAACTCTTGATCTTCAACAAAGTTGTGAAAATTCATTCTATAGTTAAATACAACGCCTACTTTCAACATTTGATCTTATAAATTAAAAATTTAACCTAATAACACAAGGCCTAAAATTGACAAACAAGCTTTAATCTCAACTTATAAAATGATATGATCATCAAAAGTACAAGGATCATCCACTATCGCCAAATAATAATGCAAAATATGTGTAAGGACTCGTAACCCAGACAACATTTACTGTTTTTGTTGTTAAAAAAGTGTAAATTTCCACTACAATATCACCATGCAATACATGGTATATATGTGCGTGGGTATCATATACAATCAAGTTAAAGAAACTGCAAACATAGAAATTTTTATCTTTTATTTTAAAAACAACTTTTAAAAACCCCTTTTTATTTTACTACTATTATTTATTATTTTATTATTTTCCCTTTTATTTATTATTTTCCCTTTTATTTTATTAAATCTTTTCAACTTTACCTAGAATTCTATCTCCTCCTAAAATCAAGAAATATTTTTACTAAATCAGAAACACCACAGTCCCTATGGATCGACTCTGCTTCTCTATACTATATTTTCCTTTCTATTTGTTAAGAAGCCATGAATTATTTTGATAATAAAACAACGGTTATCAAATTGGCGTCGTTGACGGGGACTAGCGGAGAGTACTGATTTATTTTTCTAGTTTTTGATTTATGACCAGAAGAAACTCAGGTGAATTAGTAGATCTAGATCCGGAGAACGAAGCACGAGCACGAAGAATCCACGCACAAACGCTTCGAGAAAAGAGAAAAATACAAGAAGAACAAGAGCAGAGTTCAGAAGTAGAATCAAATCCGGAGACAGAAATAGACGCATACATCCCGATGGCAGAAGAAGAACAAAAGATCCGAGAACTAGCCACAAATCTTTTCACTCAGAAGCCATTATGCATCAATTTTCCTAGTGGCGGGACTCTATTTCAATTAAAGACAAGACTTATTCATCTTCTTCTCACTTTCCACGGCTTTCCAAATGAAAATCCGTACAAACACTTGTTGCAATTCCACATGGTTTGCACTAGCATGAAACCACAGGGAGTTACCGAAGATCAAATTAAATTGAGAGCTTTATCTTTCTCTTTAGCCGACTTGGCTAAAGATTGGTTATTTTATTTACCTCCAAATTAAGTTAATTCATGGGCTGACATGAATCGAATTTTTCTTGACAGATTCTTTCCAACGGCTAAAGCGAGTTACGAATGAGCATTCTTTCCATTCAACAAAAGAGATAAGAAAGTCTTTATGACTATTAGGAATGATTTAAAAAACTTTGCGCACGTTGTCTGCAACACAGATTAAGTGAGCAAACGTTACTTCAATACTTTTATGAAGGCCTTTTACTAATGGAGATGAAAATAGTGGATGCCTCCAGTGGAGGAGCATGAGTAAACATGACCCCAACAACAACAAGGGAATTGATTTCAAGCATGGCAACCAACTCTCAACAGTTTTCAAGTGAATCCAGCCGACGGGTTCACGAGATAAGTACTTTTTCCCTTGAGAATAAGTTAGACAAATTAACTGAAGTAGTTAATTCACTTGTTGGAGGAAAATCTGGAGCAACAAGAGCATGTGGGATATGCACAAAACTAGACCATCTGACGGATTGCTGCCCGCTGATACAAGAAGGAGACAATGTAGTAGGGAACTTTCCAGGTCCTCCACAAAGGCAGTACAACCCATACATCAATACTTATAATCCAGGATGGCGAGACCACCCAAACTTCAGCTATGCGGCAAATCAAAGACCAACTTATTAACCAAGACCTCCTCCTCAACAACAAACGCAAAAATCATCATTGGAGGAACTCATAGGAAAGTTAGCAATTTCACAAGAAAAGTTCATTGCATCCCAAGAAAAATTCCAAAGCCAAACTGAAACACATCTTCAAGAGTTAGATAACCAAGTAAGCCGACTAGCTCAAACTATGGAATCACAAGGAAGACTACCTTCTCAAACGGAATTAAATCCGAGACAGAATGTCAGTGCCATCACACTTCGAAGTGGAAAAGTTATCTCTCCCGAAGTTCCATCAGAAAAAGTCGTACATCAGAAAGAACAAGAGGACACACCACCTTCAGAAATACAAGGTACATCTGACTCACATCCTTCTCTTTCTTCTCATGAAATCACGCCACCACCCTTGCCATCAAGACTGATGAAGCGTGATAAAAGAGCTGAAGAAAAAGAGATCTTAGAAGTGTTCCAAAAAGTTCAAGTCAACATACCTCTTCTTGAAGTAATTCGACAAGTACCAAGGCATGTTCGATTTTTAAAAGAACTTTGCACTAAAAAAAAAAATTAATGGGTCACGAAAAGATAAATTTGGGAGAGCATGTCTTTGCAATTTTTCAACGAAAACTCCCGCGAAAGATGAAAAATCAAGGTATGTTCTCTATACCTTGCAAAATAGGTTATTTTAAAATTAAACTTGCAATGTGTGACTTAGGTGCTTCAATTAATGTTATGCCATTTTCTATATATAAAATGATTACTAACGAGCCATTGAAGGAAACGTGAATAACCATACAGTTGGCTGATCGATATGTGATCTATCCAGTAGATGTGATCTATCCAGTAGAAGTAATGGAATGTCTTGGTAAAGGTCGATGTATTATTTTTTCCTGCAGATTTCTATGTCATTGACATGGAACATGATAGGTCGGATTCTTATTCCGACGTACTCTTAGGCCGACCCTTCCTAAGCACAGCACATACAAAGATCGATGTTAGAAGTGGTATACTAACAATGTAATTTGTTGGTGAGATCATTGAATTTGATGTTTACAAAGCAATGAAATGCCCTGATCATGTTGAAATAATTAATTCTGTTGATGTTATAAATCCTTTAATTGACGAATATATTGAATCCAATTTTTCTTATAATCTTTCCAAGGATCTTGAACTTTGCCACGAAGAGGAAGAAAAGGAGTTTGAAAATATTCATTTAATCAATTCTGATTTATCTTTACCTTTCTCTAAAACTAAAATTTTACTTTATGTTTTGCATGCACTTGAGATAGAATTGAAGCAGTTATTGGAACATTTGAAATATGCATTTTTAGGAGAAAATGCTACTTCACCGATTATTATTTCGGATAAGCTTTCAAAGCTAAAAATGATCCGAAAAAAGCCTATGAGAAAGCCAAAATCTACAAGAAAAAAAATAAAAGAATTATATAATCGTAGAATTTATCATAAGGAAGTTCTAAGTTGGAAAAAGCGTATGAAGTGGAGGAAGTAGTTCTCTCGAAACCTATAGTCTGAATCAAGTCGTTGAGCTAACGGCGTTAAACAAAAGTGCTTGATGGGAGGCAACCCATTTCGTTCTATTTTATTTTATTTTATCTTTTTATTTTTAGCAAACTTTATTTCATTCTATTTTTTAGTAAATTCGAACAATGCAGTGCAAAAAAATATTGCAGGAAAAAATTGATTTGGTTCGAACAGTGCAAAAAAATACACAGCAGATTCAAACAATGCAGTGCAGAAAAAATAGTGTAGAAAAAAATAGATTTGGTTCGAACTTTGCAGAAAAATTCGAACAGAATAGTGCAAAAAAAAAAAAATTGGTTCGAACAGCGTAGAAAAATACACAGCAGCTTCGAACAGTGCAATAAAATTTTAATATATCTTCTGGTGGCTTCTCGATCGGACATTCTACTCTACAACAGCTCGTCTCGACGTGGCCGTGGCCGCGATCGTCGCTAGATTGGGGAGTATTCTTTTTCCCTCTCTTGTTTTTCAATTTAATATATGTTTTGGGGACAAAACGGAATAAGTGAGAGTGAAAGGATAAGCATGTCGTTAATTTTTTTCCTTAACTTGTTTGATTATTTGAAATTGAGTTGTTCTGATATTGATATGTTGGGATTGTTGGTTGCTAGTCTTGAATTTCGCTTTATAATCTTGCTTCCTTTTGGATTGTGATAATGTTTTGATCGAATTTAATTTGCATGATTGATGATTGTTATATCTGGTGAAGTTTTTGTTGAGTATTGATATTTCACGCTTTTGTCGATAGAGATGAACTTGACTCAATGCACATAAACTTTTCTTATGAGATTTGGGCCTAATGAGCATATATGTTCTTTTTTGCTCATTGTTTGACTTGTGTGTGTCGAACTAATTAGGATGTTCTAGAACTTGTAATCACAATGAATATCGATACTACATGTTGAATGTAATGTTTTAATGTGATAGGGGCACCTAGGATAAACACACTTTTCCCAAAAAAAACCTACCTGTTTACACATCCACTAATGAACCACATTTAAGCCTATTTCCCTTTTTTTGTTTTACACCTCATAATTAAACTCGAAGCCTTTCTTTTTATTTTCCTCTCTTTTCACACCCTTGCCGAGAATTGAAATCTTGTATCATTCTTGTTCCACGAAAAAATAAAAAAAAATTACTGTTTCGAAAAAGAAAGAAAGTTGTTCACTGTTTTGAACAGCAGAGAAAGAAAAGAAGAAAAAAAGATCATTTGTTCGAAAAAGAAGAAGGAAAAATCGATCGTTTCAATTGTCGTTCATCTATTCCTTTTCCTTGTTTTGTTTTTCATTGCGCTTCATGTTAATTCGTGGATTGTTCTTAATTATTTTGATATCTTGTTTCGGCATTTTAAACCCTTCTTTTTGGCCTTTTCCCTACCCTAACCTAAGTCCCTTTACAGCTTGTTTAAAGACCCATTGATTATTGCATTATGTTCACTTTTAGTAGTGAAGACTTGATTGAATTTCAAGCATATGGTAATATTTTGATTAGTTTCGGTTTGAACGATTTCATTTACCCCAGACACTTTGAGCAGATATGTGTGAATCTTTGTGAGGTATTGAGTCATGTTTCATTGAAATTGACAATTAATTGGGATATCTTGCTTACTTTAAATTTATTGGTTATGTCTTTTCCTGATTGTAACTTGAATTCGGCAAATGTCATAGACTTAATTCGATTGGAAGTTTGAGGAATAAATTGAAATTGAAGATGACAACTTGTGATTCTGATGTATTAATTGATGAATGCTTGAGGATAATCATTGAATAAGTGAGGGGGAATTTGATAATTGCTTAATTTAGTTAATATTTTACTTTTAAATTACTCAATAATCATTGGTTTTTGTGGCTTGTTTGTTCGTTTTGATTCATTTTCTGTGCAGGACGTTAGATTCTGAAAATTGCACTAAAAGGACAAAATTCTGCAGTTTTTTTATTTTCGGAATCGAAGCTGGATTAGTGAGCATGAATTCGGGCATGAAACATCCGACGAGGCAATGACGTCAACATCTTCTAGAAGATCCAGTTAGCGTTTCTAGAAGCACAAATGGATTGGCCGCACGTTTTTGCAATGCGGATTTAAATTAAACTCAAGTTTTAGGATAATATTTTTTATATTTGTTTTAAATATTTTAGTTTAAATAGGTTTTAGTATTTTAATTAAGTTTTAAGATAATATTTTAAATATTATATTTTATCTTTGTATTTTAGTTTAAATAAGTTTTAGTATTTTAATTAGGATTTAGGATATTATTTTAAATAATATTTTATTTTATATTTGTTTTATTTATATTTGTTTTAGGTATTTTAGTTTAAATAGTTTTAAGAGTTTTAATTAGTATTTAAGTTATTATTTTAGGAATTATTTTTAACTTGTTTTTAGGAATTTGAAGACTATAAATACTATCTAAGGGTGAGCTTAGAAACATATCTTTCACTTCTGAGAATTAAATCTTAATTTTCTCTCTAGCTTTCTCTTTATTTTGCGCCTACTTCTTTACTTTCTTTTGGAATTTCGTTTTCAACAATTGCTAAGTATGACTCTGGTCATGCTTAGCTAATTTTCTTTCAAGCCCGAAGACTAAAGCGAAGACTCAATTCCAAACGTGATAATTGTAAGTACTTAAATCGTTTCAGATTTTTCTCTCTGTTTTGTGAGCTTACTTTTCAAATCAAAACGATTTTGACATTGGTCAGGATGTTGTTATGGTTAACGTTTGAAGAAGGATTTGATTATTGAATCATATTCAACTTCCCGAGAACACACTTAGCAAAATTGTTTGCTAATAGGAAACTGAGATCGAAATCAGTTTTTGTTGAAACGACACAATTCGAGTTGGCAGCGAAGAATTGTCCTCTTAAGCCGACTTGAATCTTGAAGTAAAAATCTGTTTCGATGATCTGAAGAATTTAAGGCAAAGCTGAAGCATGAGGCTGCTTTCACAATGAGTTTCTCTTTATCTTATTCTCTTTAAATTATTTATTTAATTATTTCTTTTATTTAATTCTTATATTTGATTTTAAAAACAACTTTTAAAATCCCTTTTTATTTTACCACTATTATTTATTATTTTATTATTTTCTCTTTTATTTATTATTATCTATTTTATTTTATTAAATCTTTTTAACTTTATCTGAAATTCTATCTCCTCCTAAAATCAAGAAAATATTTTACTAAATCAGAAACACCACAGTCCCTGTGAATCAACTCTGTTTCTGTATACTACATTTTCTTTTCTATTAATTAAGAAGTCAGAAATTATTTTATAATAAAACGACGGTTATTAAAAAGAAAATGAATTTAAGGGATAAAACGGCATAAAAAAAAAGATGAAAAACGAACTTGAAGGAGAAATAATGAAATTCCTTAAAGAGGGAGTAGCAGAGCACGAAGAAGTTGGATTTGGCTAACAAAGGATTCAATACCCATTGTTCATAGACGTCAATATTTTCCGATTGTGAATGGGGAGAGTATCGTTGTTATTTCTTTTCTTTAAACAAAAATATTAAGAAAAATTATATAGAAATAAAAGGAAAGAAGAACAGAGAAGAGACTTCAAAATCGTCTCAGCTGTTGCCCTCAAAGAGGAAGAGATGTTGGCGTTATATGATGAGGTTGTAGTTTGTTAAAGAATTTGCTTCGAGTGAAAAATGCTTTGAAGAAGTATGAAAAATGACTTAAAGGATTTTATTCGGTAAGTTGTTTTACACAAAAACACGGGTTTTTCCTTTGACTGTAATTCAATTTACATTAACCAAAATCTTTTACATCAAACAAACAAGAGAAAACGTGTAAAACAATAAAAATGATTTACGGTAAACAAACAGACTATTTGCAAGACATACACATATTTGAATATTCAAGAAAAAGAGGTGGCTACCGTCCTGTAAATGAAGGATGATGCCATGGAAGTCCACAAAGATGGCTTAAAAGTGGCGGAGTTTTAAGTGGAAAATTAACTTCTTGCTAGCCTTGGGGGATAAGTTTGATCACGCCTTAACTTGCCAACAGTACTACAGTAGGTCAAATTTTGTTATCAGTCTTTGTGTTTAATGTAAATCATGTATTTAGTTCTTAAATTTAAATTAGACCCCTCAAATTTTGATTAGTTTTCGTCCGATAATTTGGTCATTTTTATTTTATGTAATTTAGTCATATTATCTATGTATTGTTTGAGCTAAAATCGAAGAGTGCAGGGACTGAAATTGAGTAATTTAGAGTATAAGGGGCTAAATCTATAACATACACACTGTACAGGGTCTAATGATGAAATTTCACCTAGTGTTTATCACAAGTAGACAACGATTGCAACAGTGACTGAGAGAGACCTGCATGAAAATAATCAAAACTTTGATTCAGGTCATGACAAAAGGGGTTAGGGACTTGGGTTGAATTTAAGATTCTCAACTGTTCTAGTTTCTTGTATGATCATAAAAAATGGCAGCTAGGGAGAAACGTTTTGATTCAATCACTAAAAATATAAGTTGCATAATTCGGGATTTTGGCAGCTAGCTAGTTTCTTCTTCCTACCTACATGATCTCAATGCATTTATTCTTCAGTCAAACAGTAAAAAAAAAGGAAAAACAAAATTATTACATGACCAAAGTGTGAATTGAATGAGACAGACAGAGAAAGGCAGGGGAAAAAAATAGAAAACCTTATCTTGAGGGTAAGTTTTACAGTGGATCCACAAAGCAGACAAGATATGCCTTCCACCATTAAAAGTCCCCACGTGATCTTGACATAAACAAAGTAGCTTCCTTGGCGTAAAGCCATTGGTAATTCCCTTGAAAACATTATTTTTGAATGTTTTTGCTTTGTTTCAAGCCTTCTCCTTTCACTGGGGGTTAAAAACTGGGTCTTAAACAAACATAAACTCGTGTGTTTTAGTTGTCTTTGTCTGTGGATAACCTTCTTTAATAAGAATTAGCAAGAGAATCACTTATTTTCCTCCTTTTGGGATCTGAGATCTGTATATTTTACTCCTGAAAAATCTCAGTATATATATATATATATATATAGAATATTGTAGTGTTGCAGAGTTTTTGCCTGTCTATTCAACTAGTTTCTTTAATGGATGTCTTCATCAAAGATCTTAGCTTTGGAGATATTTTGTAAGCTTTTGATGTTTTTGAGTGGCAGAATTGGGGGATCATTGAGACAGGCAGGGCAAAGCTTGATTGGAGTTTGATTTGGTTGGATATCTTGGATACATAACAGAAGGTAATTTTGAGGGTTTCGTTTCAATTATTTTAGTTGCTTTTGTAGCGTTTCATGTTTATGAATTCGAACACATCGGTAGTCATCTCATCGGAAAGATCTTGTTAGTTTCAACATGAGTAGTAGTAGTTGTAGCAGCTGTAAGACTATAGTCTGGTTTAGGAGGGATCTTAGGATTGATGACAATCCTGCTTTGGCCGCTGCTGCGAAGGACAAGGGAGTTTTTCCGGTCTATATATGGTGCCCTAAAGAGGAAGAGCAATTCTATCCCGGTCGAGTATCGCGGTGGTGGCTGAAGCAATCTCTTGCTCATTTGGAGCAGTCTTTGAATTCTCTTGGTTCTGAACTTGTGTTGATCAAGACACATAGTACTCTTTCAGCTCTTTTGGACTGCATCAATTCTACAAGCGCTACTAAAGTTGTATTTAACCATCTTTATGGTATGTTCTGATTCATTTGATGAAGTAATTTTAATCACTAGCAGATGCTTATGCGTTTTGTTTTGCTCTTCTTTCGCAGATCCGGTTTCGTTAGTTCGAGATCATAACATCAAGGAGAAACTGGCAGAGGCCGGCATTTCCGTGCAAAGCTACAATGGAGATTTGTTATACGAACCATGGGAGATATATGATGAGAAGGGGCAAGCTTTTACGACCTTCGACACATATTGGGACAAGTGCTTGAACGTGCAAATGCAACCTGTTTCACTTCTTCCCCCATGGAGGTTGCTGCCAGTCGAAGGTAAGTTTGAACAAAATAACATGTAATCTGGTTCGGTTCGTTCTTGATAGTACGAAATTGAAGCTAACTCGACTATGACCAGTGTACTAAGCATGATGCACACACATGAATATTGCAGAAAATGTGTAACCAGTTTGCTATTCTTTATCCTTATTAGTGACAGGAACAATAGAAAGGTACTCGATCGAAGATTTGGGCCTCGAAAACGAAACTGAAAAAGCTAGCAATGCATTGTTAGGAAGAGCATGGTCTCCAGGTTGGGGCAATGCCGATAAGGCTCTAACCGAGTTTATTGAACAGAACCTGTTCGACTATTCGAGAAGCAGGCTTATGGTCGGGGGCAACTCCACATCGCTTTTGTCTCCGTATCTTCATTTCGGGGAGGTAAGTGTGAGGAAAGTTTTCCAAAGCGCACGGATGAAACAGTTAATATGGAGAAGAGAACATAAAGCTCAAGGGGAAGAGAGTGTAACACTTTTTCTAAAGGCCATCGGGCTTCGAGAGTACTCCCGGTACCTTACCTTCAACTTTCCGTTCACTCACGAGAGACCGTTGTTGAGCAACTTAAAGTATTTTCCTTGGAATGCCGATGAGAACCGTTTTAAAGCTTGGAGACAAGGTCGGACGGGATATCCATTGGTGGATGCTGGAATGAGGGAGCTTTGGGCAACCGGTTGGATACACAATAGAATAAGAGTCATCGTTTCGAGTTTCGCGGTGAAGTTTCTCCTTCTTCCATGGAGATGGGGAATGAAGTATTTCTGGGACACACTTCTGGATGCGATTTAGAATGCGATATTCTCGGTTGGCAGTACATCTCCGGCAGCTTACCCGATGGTCACGAGCTAGAACGATTAGACAGCCCACAGGTACATTTTTGTGTTATTGGGGGTACTATCTTAACGATAACAAGTGTTTTTCCTATCTTTGAACCTCATTTTAAGTTGATTTTTTTCGAGTCAGATTCAAGGAGCCAAGTTTGACCCTGAAGGTGAATATGTAAGGCAATGGCTGCCGGAGCTAGCGAGGATGCCAACCGAGTGGATCCATCATCCTTGGGATGCACCTCTTACCGTGCTTAAAGCCGCCGGAGTGGAGTTGGGGTTAAACTATCCAAAACCTGTAATAGATATGGATACAGCTAGAGAACATCTGAGAGAAGCTATATTTAAAATGTGGGAAACGGAAGCAGCTGCAAAAGCTGCAACTTCGGATGGGATGAGCGAAGAAGTTTTTGACAATTCCGATCGTATTGAAATGTCTCCGATCCCGAAAGTTATTCTAAAGGAAAAGTCTTCTTGTCCGACATATTCATCTAATGATCAAAGGGTCCCATCATTTCAAAATGGCAATAATGGTTCATTGCATAGGAAGAGAGCAAAACTTGTGGAAGAAGAAAGGTGGCCTGCTAATAAACCGAATAATCACGACAAACAAGCAGGGACCTCCAGAGGAGAAGACTCATGCTCGACTGCCGAATCTTCAGCATCTAAGAGGCAAAGTACTAGCAGAATGTCATTTTCCGTTCCCCAATCTTGTTCATCGTCCGATGGCAGGCTGTTGCAGGAGTATGATTCTTCTGATACGAAGCGATTGATGCAAGAAAAGATCAACATGGAACAGACTTCAAGTAAGAATGGTAAGTAAAGCTATTTAGTTATCTCACTAATACATTGGATTATGCCAACCTGCAAACCTGAGCCCTCGAAGAGCTTGGGGTACTGCGAATTATGCTCATGATATATATATATATATAAGTCGAATTAGTGTTTTTATGTACAAGAGCTACTGATTTGTATGAACTTCAGTTATATATACGAACTTTAACATCAAATCATGCTTTATTGATTACTTTATCCGGGTAACAACTTGTGATTCACTCAAAATTTGAACTACTAATCCCCACCACCATTTCTACATTTTGCCAAATCAAAGAACAAAAATGATAAACAACTTCAGGTCCACAGATCCCTAACAACATCAAGGATAACCCCGGATAAATGACGTATACTTAACACACACACCCCTTTGGATTGTTGCAGTTATTTTCATCGTTCCATTTTATAAGTACCATTCTTGTTCTGGTCTTATTTTCTCTTCTTTCTTGGCTTTTCTAGTTATCACCCTGGTTGTGTTATTTTCACCTACTGTCTTGGATCCAAAAGAAGCAACAAATTCCAGTTCTAAAGAGAAAAATCTTACATCAAACGGCACCCCTCTTCCTGCACCGGCTCTTGTTCAGGCTCCTGCAGACATAAAACAGGACAAGTTACTATGCTTTGCTTCTAAGTATCATGTTACCCTGACTTCGTTTTCGTTGAAGTGCCTATTTTCAACATATATTCATATATGGTATGTGTTTGAATATACCTTGATTATACCGGGAGTAATAGATGACTTAGTTGGAGCTAAGGTTCCGAATCCGGATGACTTTGGTTTCTTATCCGCCACCTTTAATATCTGGAAAGAACATTTTAAATTCCCGTCCACGCTCATCATGGCAGCAGCATTGTCGAACTCTCCGCAGTAATTCGGGGCCGAAAATATGGTTACAAGCTGCTTATTAGCAAAGAATTCATATCCATCTTCAACGACCTACAAGCATGGACATTAGATTGAGACAGAGGAACCAAAAGACATAGAAATCCAACAAATGTTCCGTGAGAAATCTATTTAAACCTGGTGTGCCCGACATATTATGTCGATATCAAGCCTCATGAGACAATCGGTCACCCTATCAGCACCGAACATGTAGGAAACTCCCCGATCGTTAGGACCCCATCCCAGGATTTCTTTACTAGGATCAGACCATAGGAGATCACAAAGGAGGCCGGATTCTGGAACATCGGTAGGCCTCTTTATGTTTCTAATCTGATCCATACAGTGGAGCTCCGGTGAAAGTCCGCCATGCATGCAGAATATCCTTTCTTCAACCAGAGCTGCCACGGGCAGGCAGTTGAAACAATCTGTGAATACTTTCCAGAGCCGCACATTGAATCTTCGTTTACACTCGTCGTAAAATCCGTAGATACGGTTCACCGAAGCACATTCGTGGTTACCCCTAAGAAGGAAAATGTTATGAGGATACGTAATCCCCCAAGAACAAGAATTGGAACGAGGAGGGAAACCGCCATATCAAATAGCCTCAGGAGATCAGAATACTGGCCATGAATGTCTCCTGCATCACAAAAATGATGTATATGAATCACAATGCCATGTTACTCAAAACTCAGTGTCAATATCGAATACCAGTTCGAAAAAATTCAGAAGTTGCATGCACAATACATAGCACCAAAGTTATAGACAAACTTTCACAAATGTTACACAAATTTATACCCATAATATGATCCATTGTACTAAATTGCAGTCTCAAGGTCATTGAGGTACCACAACCGTATCTGTAAAGTTAGAAATATAGTTATTTTTGGGAAATAAATCACGTCCTAATAACGTCTGTGATCGCAATTTAGTACTGTGATATGATCTCATAAGGAAAAACCATCAGCATAAAGCACCGAGAGAATAACTGGAAAACTCTTACGCAGAAGATCTAATTTCAGTAAAAATGCCCAAAATCCCATACATTAAAATAACTTCAAGCCTTACTTGAAGCTAAACAACCCATTTTATGAACAAATCATAGCATCAAACAAGTAAACACATAAACTGGTAGAAACCCATTTCAAGAATCAAATTCATGCATAATTATGAACAAAGAGATGGATTTAGATTGAAGAAAAGAAGATACCACAAATCTTAATAGGTGCTTCAAGCTCTAAAAGAATGGGTTGCCTGGAGAAGATATCTTTAGAAACAAGACAGAGCTGCCTTATTTCAGATTCAGAAAGCTGAACAAGTGTGCCTGGTTTGCCTCTAACTTCAAGCAACCTATTGATTATGCCATCAAGAACCCGAGCTTCCATAGTCCAACAACACCCCACCTAATGATCGAACCTTTGTGGACCAAATAACAAGAAGAAGATAAAGGCAGACAAAAGTGAAAGAATCAAAGAATAAAGAAAGGGTCTTTCCACCACCTGCATGCTTTGTTCTTCTGGGGAAAGTGAAAGAGATTTTTTCCCCTTAAAGAAATATGATTTTCATATTGGTGTTGTTTAAACATGCACGACTGGTCGTTCATGGTGCGCGGGGAATTTTTCTTTTTAGTTATTTAAAAAATATTTTATTTATCTCAAATTTTATAAATAAAAACTTAACTTGATCTTATTTTATTTATTTTTATTTGATAAAATTAAAAAATTGCAAACAAATAAATAAAGATATTATAATAGTTAATTTTTTTATGAAAAGAGAAAAATAATATAATAATTATTATAATAATTATTTTAAATATATAGAGGTATATTAAGTGATCTAAAGTCGATTTAGTATGAATTTGACTTTGTAAATATTATTCTTGTGATGTCCCTTGGATACTAAAGGCAGCCACAAGAATATATCCTTTGTTTTCATTCTTTATAAAATAATAAAGTATTAAAGAGAGAAAATAAGGAGTCTAAAATGAAAACAAAAGAGACAAGTTACACTCTGATTATATTAGATTCAATTTAGGTTAATGATAAATTTAAAGTCGATTAATGTCATATGTTTTGAAAAATTAAAGAAGAAGAAAACGATGGAAAACAAAATCAAGTAGTCGTCTCCTTACTGCTAGTGTTAGTCATAAGGTCATGATTATTATTCGTAGGTTGATAAGTTGAATAAATATAATTGTTTGACAATAGATTTTGCTCTCTGAATCTGTCAAAAATAATGTCAAGACAAAATAATCATGCGAGTGATATCAAATAACGAGGAATAGGCCTTGAATGATATGATCGACGAAGGTGATCCTTCGAAAACCTCTTACTCCAAAGATTTCGATCGCCGAAGAGGGTATTTGCGGAGGAGATTCGAAGGAGGCATAACATTTTTTTTTTCATTAATCAAGAGAATGTCATAAAGTGTTCTTACCTGAGACCTACATATGACGACACTTCTTGTATTTAATGAGTTGTTTTGGGGAATGTTATAATGATTACTTATGTATAATTGGATGTTCGTATACGTGTCATTCTGTGATTGGCATAGTCAAAAGACATGGTATTTCAACCGTTTGAAAGATGTTACTTCCTTTTTGTTTAAAGGGGAGTCAGGACGAAATCCCTAATTTTTTTTCTTTAGTATTTGATTTGTAATTTGTCGTATTTTAAATAAAATCTACCCATAATCAAATGACTATGTAAGTAGTTTTTACATGTTTTTAACTAGATTTCTCTCGCCAATATTGTCTCCCACCCAAGTATTACATGTGTTATTATGCATTGTATATCCTGAGAATGGTAAATACTCTACTAAGTTTCATTCTCATAGGGGTGTTAGATAAGATGACGTATGGCCTCTACGGTGGTAGATCTTATTTCTTCACACGCTTGAACAAATGTTTTTATGTGAATGACTAATACGTTTTATTAACACTTATTCGGGATAAAACTCAATAACCATCACACATGTAATGAGATAGGATTTATTGTGTGATGGCTCTCACACGTGTAATGAGATAGTTTCTCATCACTCGTATGATGACCCTGATAACATTGTACGACTGACTAGTGCAAGTATCAAATATTTATAACATAAATATGTTAATGGGAACAGCCAGTGGAATTTGACTAATGAATCCACTTTCCTACCATAGCTTACTCTCCGCATATAATAAGAATGATTTAATCTTTTATGGCCCATGTCAACATGTTAATGAAATCTTTCAGCTTGGCTTTTGATGGACTCGATTGTGAGAATTGCAAACCTCCTTTGATAGTTCACAGAAGGTGCAATATCATCGAATGTAAAGTTTTCGATGAATGAAATAGTTACTGGTAAAATCCAATTGATAGTCACCTCAAAGGTCAAATTTTCGATGAATGGAATGGTTATTGGTCAATTCCAATAGTGTGAAGACTCTATATGGCTAGAAATATGATTGACAATAACGGATCAACAAGTTTTAGCTTTCAATTGGGATTTGAAGAGATTGGAAGGCTTTTCTATGAGTTTGAATAGAAGGAAAGAAAGAGAATAATAAGAGGAATAGTTCAATGGTCTTTTTGACCGAAGAATCCATTTAACGATGACAAATCAGCTATCGTTAATGGTTTAACGGTCCATGGTCGAAATAATAGTTTTTCATAACATTATTGTCTCCAATGAAAGTTTTTCAAGTTTGATGAGCAAGGTGAAAGCATTCTCAAAGTCCAGTAACAACTAGTGTAGTTTACTCCATCTCATTTGTAATTTGTTGTTAAGGGAAACTCAACGTATAATCTTTTTACGCATAAAATGTTGAAGGGAGAAATTCACTTAATATAGAGTAACCCTAATGAAAGATGCATTTGGCCTTACAAATCTCAATTTATGGTATAGGCGTGTCCTACGGACTATAAAAAGAGAGGTCCAGAATATAATGCATACAAGTGTGATAAATACATGGCTTCAACGCCTTTCATCCCTTATAAAAGGGAATCAACTCCATCAATTTTGTTGCCAAGCATGCAAGGAAAAGAAAACCACTATGATCTTAAAGATGACTAAAGCTTGCTTGCATTTGTTCTTCCTTGGAATGGTGTTTGTTTCCACCTCCATTCCATCTTTAGCCAAATAATCCAGTGGCGATTATGAATCGCCGTACGTGATTCCGTTTTTTGGTGAGAAACCATTGCAACAACACATAATCCGGCAGCGCGATTGGAGGCACCTTCTACTAGCCATTGAAGAAGAGAGCCCGTTTGCCAGTGAAAAATCACCTTATGAAATAGGAGAGTCGGAAGGACCATTGGGAGAAGAGGTTCAAGAAGCGAGTTCGTTCGATGGTGAAAAATCACTTGGTGATGACGTAGGGGAGCTGGAAATATCAACGGAAGAAGACGTTCAACAAGGTAGTCCATTCGCCAGTGAAAAATCACATGGTGATGAGGAAGAGCCGAAAATATCAATGGGAGATGATGTTCAACAAGATAGTCTGTTCGCTGGTGAAGAACCACCTGATGACGAGGGGAAGGATCCGGTAGAATCAGAAGAGGAGGAACTCGAAATAAGTCCACTCTCTGATGATAAAGGAAAAGTTCCATCAACAATGCCAAGAATTCTTGTTGCAAATCCACCATCAATAAGTCCATCGCCCATATGAGAAAACCATTCGCAGGTAAGGTATTCCAGCCATCGGAATTACAAAGGGACAGAGATAGACCGAACAAGTCATTACATGCTGATAAATCATTCTACGACGAGAAACCTCGGGAACGATAACCCCTAATCACCCGTCATCGTAAAATTCTCCCCAAAGCCTCCTAGAAGAACATGTGGATGAGTCATATTTCCCAAATGTTATTAAACCAAGCTATGAGCATCACCCATAATCACCCACGGTATCACTAGTTTACTGTGCAAATAAGAGCTGATTCTAAGTTTTCATACAAGTGTAAAGAATTCCTCCTTGTATATAAGAAGTTTCTTATATGATTTTTGAGTCAATCGAATGGGTGAAATAACAAAGAGGGGTGAATTAACAATTAGAAATTTTGGTGGAAGCTTGAGAAAAAAATTATAAAATTGAACACAAGAATTTAGAGTGATTCGACTTTATCAACCAAAGTCTACATCCACTACCTTAGCTATCCACACTAAGGATTTCCACAAATTCACTAATTTGTATCTACCTTTGAGGATAAGGTGTAACCTTACAACTCCCTAAAGAATTATACCCCAAATTCTTGAGACACTCTCTAAAAGAGAAAATTACAAATTGCAAACTTATAAAATCTTCACTAGGAATGTGTTTCCACAATTCAAGAACAAAAAACAACAGTTGAGAAATAAATACAAATGAGTACAAAAAATGTTCTTTTAAAGCAAAAGGAATATTGAAGAATACTGACTTGATTTTGGCTCGAATTTGTTGTTTTTGGCTTTCTCTTGTATCTCTAAATGACTTGAAATATTGTTTTTATACTTCCTCAATTAATTCCAACGGTTTCAATTGTTGTGTGAGTGAATAGAGCCGTTGGGAGGTAGTTTCCCGAATTAAATGCAGTCAAAAGCTTGTAGTATCGATACTCGGTCTCTCAGTATCATACTCCCTGCATTAAATAAAAAAATATGACTATTGGGAAACTCTAGTATCGATATTGTTACAAGGGTATCGATACTACTATATTCAGTGATATCAATACTGTATATAGTATCGGTACCATTTTAGTATATTGGAATTTTGACGGATTCAAAACCAAAAAGGTAGTATCGATACCATCACTAAGAGTATCAGAATTACTATACTAACTAGTATCGATATTGTATATAGTATCGATACCATTTTAGTATTATGTTTTGACACACTTGTATACAACATCGGTACCGCCTTAGCAGTATCAATACTACTTCATCATTTTGGGCTTCAACATCGATATTTGTATCGATATTTCTTGAACATTCTTGGTACTGTTATAGTAGCACTACAGCAAAACTGATATGTAGCGGCGTTTTTAGCGGTGTTTGGAGAGAAAACGCCACAAAAGTTAAACATATAGCAGCGTTTACAATCGTAGCGCCACAAATTGATACTTTAGCGGTGTTTGTTGAAAAAATGCCGCAATAGGGTGGTTTATTGCGGCGTTTGTTAAAAAACGCCGTAATAGAGTGGTAAATTAGCGGCGTTTATACCATAAACACCGCAATAGATTAACATATAGTGGCGTTTTAGCCAAAACGCCGCAATAGATAGGTAAATTAGCGGCGTTTATACCACAAACGCCGCAATAGATTACACATATAGTGGCATTTATTCTTAAACGCCGTAATAGTGATAATAAATAGTGGCGTTTTTAAATAAACGCCGCAATAGTGTTAATCAATAGTGGCGTTTTTAGTAGTTAATCAATAGTGGCGTTTTTTAACAAACGCCACAATAGTGTAATCAATAGTGGCGTTTTTTTGTATAAACGCCACAAAATGTTAAATATATAGTCTTCTTTTTCTCCTACCTGAACCCTAAAATTAATTAAACTCTTCTTCCCTCAAAGCTTCTTCTCTGAAACAACAATAGCTCTCAAACGATTCCTACCATCGTCGTCGATTGTATGTCCCGGCGACCAAATCGGGCCTCTCACCGACGAACTATAACACAACTGCACGGTTTAATCCCTCTTATAATTAATGATATTTTTCATTTTTTTGGTCTTCTGAAAATGTGGAAAACCCAAAAAGCTAACGTATTTGAGAAAAAGAGAGCAGGTGTTGCCTTGAGTAAGAGAAATTATCGTCGACGGAATGTCTAAGTGGCGTATTTGCTCTGATGACGGAATGTCTTAATTAAAATGTATGGTTGTTGTTAATATGTAAAATCAACTAATGTTTCTCCATATAATGTTTATACATATATCAATCAATTTAGTTGATATACATTAGAAATGAAATATGTAAAATCAACTAATATTATCTAAATAAAAGGTAATTAGCGGCGTTTGTATCCAGAAACGCCGTTATAGGTACGTACGTTAGTGGCGTTTTTATACAAACGCCACTATATACTAGTACTTTAGTGGCGTTTCTATATAAACGCCGCTATATACTCATACTTTAGTGGCGTTTTGATCTAAACGCTACTATAAACTCGTACTTTAGGGACATTTTGAATGAAAACGCCGCTAAAGACTCGTACTTTAGCAGCGTTTTTATATAAACGACGCTATAGACTAGTACTTTAGTGGCGCTTTTATACAAATGCCGCTATAGACTCATACCCTTAGTGGCGTTTTTAGATAAACGCCGCAATAGATATAATATTTTGTGGCGTTTCTTAAGATAAACACCGCAATAGATATAATATTTTGCGGCGTTTTTATAAAAACGCCGCTATAGGCTAGGGCAGTAACGACTCAGTAGAATTGTCAATTAGCGGCGTTTGGTTTACAAATGCCACAAAGTATTATAAAAACCCCAAAATCAAATTTCTTGCCCGAGCCCTAATTTCTTTCTCACCATCGTTCAGCCAAGCGTTCTGGATCCCCTTTTAGTGCCATTTCAGTAACTCCGCCTTGCCCTCCATCATCGGTTCATTTTCTTTCTTCCGTAGCCACAAGCAACCAGAGACCCAGAGCCACCCAAACCAACACCATTACATTTACGCCAGGTACTCTCTAAATCTCTTTTTTGCACTGAAATAAAAATGGGTATTGATTTACCATCTTATGTTTAGGATTTCTCATGCTTTTATGTAATGAAATTTTGAGTTTAAACATGCAATGTTTGGTTCTCGTTATGGACGTATGATCCCCATTTAATGTTTTGAATGTATGTTTGAGTATAAACATTTTGACTGCTTGGATTGGGTTGGACTACTATCCAGGAAAATAGAGTTTAACATTCTGTCATGAACCTCTCATAATTTTAACTTCATTGACGACAACTAAATACCGATTATTTCTGGAGATAAATGAATGGACAACCGATTGTTTGAGCGATTTTAATTTGTTTCATGATGTCGTTTGGTAGTCATAAAGAAATATGTCCATTTTGAGGGTTGATGCTAGGAAATTAGAATTGATTGGACTATGTTGCATTTAGAATTTTATTTTTCTTAAGTAGAACACTATTTAAATGTTATTATTATTTGAAACATTAATCGATTCCATGAAACAACTCGATGCAAGCCGAGCCAACCACGTATAATAGTGCACTCATTATTGGCCTCCTTTCGAGTTTGGTCACCACATCTTCTGCAGTTAGGTCCTTCACTTGAGAAGTAGTCAGAGAATGTAATCGTTATCACATATTTGTTTTGTGTACTATATTGGTATACCTTGGTTTTCCTCCAAACTTTAGCGTTTAGGTAGTTCATTTTACAAGGCTGAACTCGTTTAGTTGCCTGCACTGACTGCACTCTGTTAATTTCTTACAATGTTTGATTCATTTTTGGAAACGAACATCATCAAGATAGTCTTGTCTCAACTCTCCCTGTAATATATTAATTTACTCATCTTAATTCTACTTAATCTATTAATTTACTCATTTTTGGTAGAAATTAAGACAGCCGCTGCCTCTACCTATTTTGTGGACCTTAGAACACGAAAAGAATAAATAAATAAACATAAGTGGCTGCCATATTAGGTAGTTCGATCCAAGGACCACCATGCCCAAATTCATATATATTCACATACCATAATAGATATTTAAAAGTACAAGTACCATATTTTGTCAAATTACAAATATCGCATCAGAAATTTATAGCACTATATAAATCGTATTGAACATCGATCAAAATATATATACTAAATACGATATCATTTTAAAAATATATTTGTTATATCTCTGAATTCGGAGATACAAATCAGGCTGTTATTGATTTATTGCTGTTATTGATACTAGTTGGTGTTGACGCCATAGACTAAATAAAGTTGAATAGACTATGTCATGTCAGCTTCAATTCTAAACTAAAGGATAATGTGAACTTTGTTATAATGAGCCAACTGAAAGAATATATGAAACTCAAATCTAGTGCATGAATTAAAAACCTTAAATGCATACAAGAATTACCTTAATGTTGTTGTTCCCTATCCTTGGTCTGTACACGAGCAGAAAAGAACTATAAATTTAAAAATTGAGCTTGCATTTGTGCTAAAAACCAATATACATATAAACGGTACCATAAGAAACTTCCATTGCTCTTACTCACCTTCCGATGAGGAAAAATAATAAGGTTTAGCATTTTGTTTACCAAACAAAATTGTTGCTAAGTGTGTTGAAGGATTCTAGTATGCAAGGAATTCTATATTTTTTTATATATGTATTTTGTTCTCCGTATTTCTTGTTTTTCCCAATATTCTGCATCGAATCAGTTGAGTAACCTACAAGTTTTTTGCAGATAACGGGTGAACTTCCCCTTGTCAAGCTCATACTTGTTGAGTGGTTCAAAGTCGATAAAGGCATAGATAAAAGTGCACTGCATCCAAAGTCTGAAGTTCAGGTATTGTTATGCATCCAAAGTTAGCATGAAGTTCACTTTTTAGCTTACTGATTTCATCAAAGTAATCTCTTGTTATGATAATGTCACCAACATAAACGGTAAGGATAACATTGTTACCTTTTGATGAAACCTTCTAGAACAATGTGTGATCTAATAGCACTGACCGTATCCGTAGTTAATTACACCTTTGTTAGACCTTTCAAACCATGTACGACAAGACTGTTTTAGGTCATACAATAACTTATGTTTTAGGTAAATTCCATTTGACCGGACAACTCTGCAAACTATGACTTATTGGCTAGCTAAATTCAAATAGGTTATGAAAGAATTGATCTATTCCAGTAATTGCTATGTAATGAATATGAAGCATATACACCTTTGGACTATTGGGTTGGGTGACATTATATTAATAGGATTACGAACCTGGAAATATTAAATAACTGAAGAGAAAGCATAACATGTGAAACCTAACATAAAATAAATGGCATGAACTCGAAAGCCCACATGTAATTATGAACTGAACTTTCCTATTGTTACGAAACAATTTAGTTTATTTCTTGCCAGAGATTATTCATTTTTCATTTAACCAGTTCATTTTTTAAATGTTATGAACCTAAATTTAAGAAATTTTGGTTTTCATTTAAA